GGATATAAAGAGGGGGAAAACCAAGAAAGATGTGCTACAGGAAAGAGAAGGAGGAATTCAAATATTGGGATCCAGAGAGAGAGATGGAGAAAGAAGCAATTGTAAAACAGGGAGTGGGAGCCAGCCAGAGAGGGATGGAGAAAGAAAAAAAAAAACCCACAATGGGCTCCAAGACAGAGGGAGGAATTTCAAAAAGGAAGGGACTGGGAGGCCTACAGAGAGAGATGGAGAAAGGGAAGATAGAAACACACCACAGGGCAGCGAGGGAAGAATTAAGAAATAGGGACAGGATGTCAGACAGAGAGCAATGGAGAAAGAAAAAAAAACAAAACAACCCTACAACAGGCTACAGGGCAGAGGGAGGGAGGACCTAAAAGATGGGAACAGGGAGCTGCTCAGAGCAAGATGGAGAAAGGAGGTTACAGGGGAGGAAAATAAAAAAGAGAAAAAAAAATATTTGCAGCAGTGTGGGAAAGAGAAGGGGCCAGTGGAGGGCAGGGAGGGATGAGAGAAGAGGGGCAATAGGGTCCCAAGAGTCCAGGACTCACCACAACTCTCGATCTTGGTGCTGCCAGGAGAATTTGACAGTTCAAACACTTCTTCTCTCCTCCTGTCTTCTTCTGTAACTCCAGTCACTTGGCTGTCCTCCACCAAAGAGAATACGTGGGTGTCTTACAGGTCTTATGAGATGAAACCTCCTAGACATAGAGCCTCGCTTACTCGTGCACTACTTGCAGGAGTAGGACAGAGAGAAAGTGAGAGAAAATGATGACCAGGGAGCAGAACAGATGGATCTGAAGAAAAGCTTAATGAGAAGAGTAAGAAAGGATGGAGACAGAGAAAGAGAGGGAAACAAGCCAGAGGGACTGAGGGGAAGAAAAAAAGAGAAAGCGATCAGGACGAAGAGAGGGAGAAATTAAAACCAGCTCTGGGCTGCAGGGTGAGAAAAAAGGCCAGGGAGCAGGACAGAGGGGAGTAATGGGCCAGTGAGCTGGGCAGGGGGATACAGTGAGAAACAGTGGGGCAGGCAGCGGTATGGAGACACACAGAAAGTTAGAGGGTGGATGGAGGACAGCAAATAAAGGAAAAGGGATGGCCAACTGCAACACAGGAGCCTGGAAGCAGCTCCCACTTGGCACTGGTGATTACAGCACCCACATGTCATTATCGTGAAGTGAAGCAGCAGGTTCCCATGTGAACATCCTTTTGTTTGATGACAGAAATTATGAATAGAATTATTTTCTTCCAAGAAAATCCTGTAAGAGCTCTAAAGATCAAGATGATGGTGCAACCTGCTTACAGAGGGGATCTGCATGATATGCCGTGCCTTGACTGAAGGTCCCTCGGGTTCTGTGCAAATCAGAGTTCCCAGCATCTGACAGAACCATCCACACTAACCTCTTTTTCCTTCTGGTGTTAAGTTCAATACATGGAATTTTAATCAATACTTTATGGAGTGGTAGTGCCTTTCTCTCTGGAATCAGTAGCCCAACATTTATTATTTCAGGATTTAGATCTGTCTATTTAACAATAAGCTGTAAACTCCGAACTTTAGCCGGAAAACTGCAAATCTCAGAACCCAGATGGTTGCTGGGGGTTTACAACTTATGGCTGAGGTTAAAACCTATGCCCTGAGCAGTAAATGTGTAAACTATAAATCCTGACTGATAAATACCAAGTCCAACAGATTTAACAAGTAAACCACAACACCTGAGTGAGAAACCCTCAACAAGAAATTCTAAACAAAAAACTGCACAAAACCTCCAAACCCTCAGTTTGGACACACAAGCAGGAAAACAGTGAAGAGAAGCCAAGGAATTTCTGCCCAGAGCTTAAAACACTTCCCCTTCACTTGTGAAGGCGGCAGAGCTGTTAAGACACATTACAAACACTTTGCAGTTGCTGTTTATAACCCTGGGTTTATCCACCACCCAAATGTGACCATACGCAAGAAGCAATCCACAGGACACACTACCACCTGCCACGCTGTGAGCACTTCATGTGTGTTATCCAGCCTATCCCGAAGATGGCACACAGAGCGTCCAGAAGGAGGGCAAAACACTACAGACAGGGAAATATTTCTGATGTAAACTAGACGTGTTTTTAGACTGTTAACCACATTGTGGGCTTTTCTAGTTACCTAACCACTCAGGCACCTGGCTGTCTTCAGCCTTTGGCTGATGGTGCTCCTCAGGGAAACTGCAGCGCAGACAGACACTGCAGTGTTAGAAGTGTTTGTTTGTCTTACTTGGCATGAAAAAGCCACGTAACATGGAAAGGGGGAACAAGCAGCTCTCTCACCTATCTGCCTTCTCATTCACACAGGCAAGAGAGGGAAAGCTCAGACCCCTCAGACTCCCAAGCAACCACCCACTGCCGTGCCCGAGAGCGTTACGCACCCCTCTCATTCACCCGAGAGCAAGGAAGCCACCCCACACCCCAGCCTGCTGTGTCCCACACCCCACCTACACTTCTTCCCTTCCCACTGCCCCAGCCCTGCTCCCACAGAAACATCGGGCACCCAACACCACAGGAGTAGCTCAGACCCTGCTAGAACGCCCTGTGACCCAACAGTCTGCCCCAAGGCTGGATCAAGTGCCAGCTGCTGCTGCAGAGAGGTGGCAGAGGAGCAGAGTGAGGCTGATGCAAGGAAGACACCTGTTTACATAAAGGCAGATCCAGCAGGAAACCGGGCTCTGTGCCGGTATCCCAGCCGTGAGCCAAGCTGCACCACGCCACAGCCCCGTCTGGGCACAGGCGAGCGAGGGGCAGGAACAGCCCATGTGTGGAAGACAGACTACAACAGACTACCCTACTACAGGCACCTAACACTCAGGCACTCGAAAACCCTGATCTCCATCTTCCTGACACCTTTCCCAAGAGCCCTCTTCACCATCAACCGTACCCTGCCCCCAGTGCACATCCACAGCCCCGTGGCCCCAGCGACACAAATCTCTGGGGGGCTGTTAGACTTGGTCTGAACGAGGGAGATCAACAGCACCTTCCCTTCACCGCCGATCAGCTCCACCGAGCACCCACCAGCCCTGGGCACCTCAAAGGCCTGATGAAACAACTAAGGAATGCCAAACCTTCAGCTTGACTGAGGAAAACAGGAACCCAGAAAGGAGATGCAGAGACAGAGGACTGGAAAGAGGGATTTAGAGGGTCTCTGAGGAGGGAGGGGGGGTCAGTAGGAGCTTTAAGAAAGGGTTTGGGAGAGTCTGGGGGCTGCTGGCAGCTTTGGGGCTGCATCTGGGGAGTGTGGGGCAGGCTTTAGGGGTATCTGGGCTCAGCAAGGCCATCCATTGCAAGCAGCAGGGGTAACAGCAGTACGGCATGGGGCCTGTGCTAGCCATCACAGAGTCCAGTGCTGCTGATGGCTGAGGTCTCTCTTGTGGCATAGCTTCATCAGCCACTTCTGGGGGAGGCACAGGAAAGCCCATCACCCCCACGGCTCCACACAGCAGCCAGGTACTGGCACCCACGTACCCACAGAACCCCAACCAGGGCAGTTCTCCCCCCCAGCCCAGCCCCAACTCCAACGCCCTCTTTCCTCACTCCACCCTGCAAGGGCATTTCATACACCCTTTTAAACTGTCCCTCCAAACCTCCCAGCCACTTGACCCTGCCTCAACATGACCACTGAGCCCTAAAAGCCCTCGCAAGTGCAAAATTACCTGCTCCCCTTCTTCACGAGCGCTGCAGCTGGAGTAGAGCAGCAGCCCCTCTGGATGGCCTTGAAGCCTGGGGTAGCTAAGGGCCCTGGATGTGACAGTAGTGACTCTAGAACTGCTGAACACTTGAGATGGGAAAGAACCTCTTGTAGGTCATCTCATCCCAACCCTCACTGCTCAAGCAGCACTGCCTACAGCCAGCTGCCCAGAACTGTGTCCAGATGACTTTTGAGTATCTCAAGGGATGGAGACTCCAAAACCTCTCTGGGAAACCTCTGCCATAACCTGCACAGTAAAAAAAAAAAAGCCTTTCCTGATGTTCAGAAGGAACCCCCTGTGCTTCAGTTTGTGCCCATTGCCTCTGGTCCCATCACTGGACACCACTGAGAAGAGTGTGGCTCTGTCTTCTGCACACCCTCCCTTCAGGAGTTCATATAAATTGATAAGACATCCCCTTCCCTCACACCCCCAAGCCTTCTTCACTCCAGGCTGAACAGTCCCAGCTCTCTCAGGCTTTTCTCACGTTAGAAGATGCTCCAATCCCTTTGTCACCTCGGTGGCCCTTCACTGGACTCTCTCCAGTATTACTGGGCCTCTCTTGCACTGGGGAGCCCAAAACACCTCTTGGTGCTACAGACAACAGCCCAGATACCTTTCCCACCCAAAAATTCCAGACTCCCTGACAAAAAGCAGGAAGCCCCAGATAACCTGAGTATGCGCCAGAGATGACAGCACAATCTCAGAGCCTCTGGAAAAGTCACCAAGAGCAAAAAAGTATGGCTTAACAGGCCCCACGACAGCTCTGCGAACACTTAGGAAAATCCCCAGAAGCAACGGTTGTGGCCCTGGAGAATGCTCCAAGGGAGAGACTGCGTGCACGGGTGCACCTCCCAGCACTAGAGCACCAGGAACATCCATCTCCTCCAGCAGATCACAGTGGCAGCACTGAGGAGCTTTTGTGCTCATCCTAAATGAGCTATAGCACGACATTCTTCAGTTAACCCCAAGAGGATTATCTGGTATCGATCAAACTTGTACTCCCCACCTGAAATGCACTGTATTAAAAAAGTAAAAATAAAACCAAAAACCCCCATTCACAAGGGTCTCTGCTCTCAGAGCTGTTTGAATTGATCACTTCCATACAGCAGTATAATCAATGTGCAGGCTTCCAAGGCACCTTAAATTTCTCAGTGACCTCCATCAACAACTTGTAGTTCTGAAGAGAGAGGGTGCAAAACTTGCTGCAAGAGCAAGCGTGTGCCTTCTCTGTGCCGCAGCACTGGAACGCACAATTGGGGCAGCGTTAACAAGCTATTTCCACAGTGATTCTGCTCAAAGTTTCTTCATCTCTCTTGCTTTTTGCACTCCGTGCCAACATCGCATTCAAGTATCCGGTTGCAAACTTTGCCATTCCAGGGAAAGCATTAAGAAATTTACAAACAAATGAAGTTCTGGCTTAAGCCTTTTACAACAGAACGGCTACAGTTGCCCCAGCTCTTGAAGAACTTTTACATTAAAATTTAAAACATCAAGAGAAGTCTAAAAAAATACACAACTGCGTAACAACTTTAAAGCAAAAGAAAGAAGTCTTCTTTTCTTCCAGTGACTCTGGAAGAAAATGAAGGAACTGAGTTTCTACTTTGTTCCATTAATACAAATTAAGAACTGAGATGCTTAAATATGTAAAGCATGAAAACAGAAGTGAACTATTATCAATGAACAAAGACAACTTTGACAATTCCTTTTTTAATAGGAAGTACTTAAATTATATTTTTAAAACAATGCTGAAAACAGCACAGCTCATCTGTAAATCTGCAATCTGACAAGTATCTCGCGGCATTTCTGATGGGTTTTTTTTTGGTTTTGTGGTGTAAGAAACTCAGAAAAAAACCCCTTCCATTATGGTAAAACAGCAGAAAGGAAAACAGTTAAACTCATCAGCCAAGGATTTTCAAATTACCTATATGCTGCACAGTAGAAAATACGGAATCATCTACACCCCCACCCCCCTTCACCCTCCAGATATCTCAAAAATAATGTCTCAGTGCTTTGGATTAAATTATGACCAACTGAATTGATTTTGTCGCCTTGGCAACACTAAGTCCAATGACAGATCTTTCTGTTCTTTTTCTGAATCCAGCAGCTGATAGCCAAGCATGTTTATAGCACCTTTGCAAACTTCCTGTATTTTCTGAATTTTCTGGAAGGAGAGAACATTCCTCCAGGCCTGTGACACACTAACTGCATCTCGAGATGTGATTTTGAAGGCTTCTTTTCTTTTTCCTGATCCCTGTCCATGTGTGATATTATAGATCCAACTTTTGAGCGTGGGGGTTAAACTAAGATCTGCAAATTTATACATTTCTGAGATTTCTGATAATGGATCTCTTACCAGATCTTCAAAACGGATCATTAAATAGCGATTTTTAAGGAAACTAGGTGGTTTTAGAGTAGCTGTTTCATAAATCTGAACGTGACTTCTACAAATCTCTTCCATTACTTTGTATTTGCTGTCTTCCACTTTCGTGCCATTGGTACTCAAAACAATTCCATTGTCACGAGCTAATGCTTTGACCGACTGTTCCCGTGATTTGACGACTGCCCTGGGGTCACGGACCAAGTGAATAATTTTGAGATTCAGGGATGGATCAGTGAGAAGGGGGTAGAGGACCTTCAAGTCAAAGAATCGAACCTCCTTGATAACAACGTGGCTGTAAGTTTTACAGGCTTCCTCCACCTTGCTGAATGGGTACCGTCCACAGAGAGTCTTGCATGCCATTTCGCTGGTTATGTCAGTACGTTGAAAGGAGTCACAAGCAGGAGCTGAGCACAGAGCCCGACTCACTGCCCACTGGAAAAGGTCGGATAAGTTTCTTTTCCAAGGCATGTAAGCATCAAACACAGACATGTCACACAGAAAGACCGACCTGACCAAGTCCCGCACTGCCATGTGCAAGACCTTGGCACTGTTCTGGTACATGGTAACCCACACGTGCCACGCAGGCTCCATCAGGTAGAAGACATCGGGGTGCTGGCTGAAAAGTTGACCAACAAAAGAAGATCCCGAACGCCAGGAGGAGAGAATGAGGATGTGGGCTTGAGATGGTTTCTCCTCAGACTGAGGTATGAAGCTGCTGTACCGGGTATACATGAAGAGTAAGAATCCAGTCTGTACCATAACAAAAAGTATAACGATTGTGCTAGGAATCCGAATCCTTGCCATTCTCACCGAGGAAAAGCAATTTAAAAAGCTGAAAGAGAGAAGAAAAATGCTGGTGAACCACTGCTCCTGTGGCACAGTAATGATAAAACTTACACAATACAAACTCTTGCATTAGCAAAACTTTTCTTCAAATAAGCATGTATATATTCGGCGCTATTTGCTTCCTGTATCAGTGGCACGGGGAGATGATTATCTGCAGGTGACAGGTGTTGGAAACTGGAATTAACTAATGCATGACAGCAGAAATAAGTTTGGAGTAAATGTTTGATGCTAAAGGAAACCTTGGGCTGATGCAGCCCAACTGTTGGAATAAAAAAAAAAAACAACCAAAAAAAAAACCCCCCAAACTCCACCTTTCTGAATTGCTCCACTGTATTTCCATTTCAGTCTAATGTTACAAGGGCTTCTATCCTTTAAAAGCAGGAGACGGGAACATCAGTAACTTTTTTTGGAGACCAAGAAAAAGAGTAGAAATATGAGCTAAGTAGGAAAGAGAAGTCAAGGAGTTTACAAGAGTTCAACAAATGATTACATTGATTGAAAGTAATTAATAGAAGAGCAGCCTCTCAAGACTGTTAAATGCAGAGATGAGGCTACAGCCGGTGGCTTAGCAATTCCCTAAACTGTACGTGGCCTGAGGTATCTGCCTGCATCCAGGAGGTACAGGAGGAGAAATCATGTTTCCTGTATTACTTAACTGTTACCCTACCAACCTCCTACTTGTTACTGTCAGGCACAAGAGCAGATAGGCAAACCTTTGGGTTAACTCAGCATGGCCATTCTTCATAGATAAGATTTGCCTCGTTCAAACATTGAATTTTGGCATATTATATCACCAAAAGCATCTATGAGTTTCTCTATACTGTGAGGATTATCAGCAATCCCGCAGCCTGCACTGACACTTCACCAAACAGAGGTGATGAAAGAAGCAAAAGTGAAAGAGCAGTTTCATTTGCTAGTTCAGGCTTCCCGGAAACAGATTCTACACCTAAAAGCCCACCAGCTGTAACTACCTCAAATCTTTTTCTTGTCTGCAAAATATTAACCATTTTCTGCACTGCAGCTCCTCATGGAGCTTTTAGAGACCCCATGATGCTTCCTATAGAATTAATATGTTTCTACTCTAGAAACTGCTGCTCCACTCTAATCAAGATCGCTCTGCAGAAATGCAAACAACCGTTTTTTATATCTTATCAGCCAAGGGTGGGGAGTGAGGAACAAAAACATGTAGATGTCAAAACAAAAGCCAGTTTTTTAAATTCACATCTGCCTTGACTGCCTCTTGGACCTCTCCTCTCTGATTCTGATCCAAGTACTGCTACAGACAACACTGTGCCAACGTAAAACCTGCTAACATCAGTATTAGTCCATAATTTGTGTCTAAACTCGTTTGCCCACCCAAAGCACTACAAACAATATGTAAAATGACTGTAGCTAAAGTATTTCCCTACTCTTCCGTGTCACATAAACTGCAAGAAAAAGTGCAGTATCGAAGTAAAACACTAAGTAGATAACCATTTTCAATATTTAAGATTAATTTTCTACCTTTCCGGAAAAGTTGGGATATTTCTAAGGAATATGCACACAGGCAGACATAACAAAGAAATGAATGATTACACAACAAAATGCAGCATCTGTAAGAGTATTCTCTCAGGCAGTTTCCAGTGCATGAGGCCAAATACACTGGATTTTCTCTGTAAAAAGTGCCTTTATTTCTGCATTTCTCACATCGGGCATCTGTAATTCTACCTGCATGTCAATATCTCTTTACCATTTGCAGTTGCATTCTGCAGTTAAAGTGCTTTCAGCCCAGGTTAAACTTACAGACCTTTAACGCGCAACTTTATAATCTGCCAAGCTCTTCCATAATTTTTGACAAACGTTAGCTGAGCCAGAAAGCAGCTCTTGAATACCCTAAGAACCACCTTCTCGTAAAGTTGTTGAATATACATATACACATATACGTATTTATAAATCTACTGAATAGTCTACACGATATCATTACCTTAATCACGAGGGACAGGACATTGTGATACAGGCTGCTGCTTCTGATCCTCTATTCATTCCATTGCAGGGCTCACCAGAGGGTGCTGTTAGGCCAGCTCGCTCTTTCAGCACAGAAAGGCAATCTGCCAAAACTTCTAGGTGAAACACTGGTCTGTGACTTGCTTTGCATTGCCTCACCTCTCTTTTTGCCAATGCCCTCCTCCTCCGCCTGCAGCTCAGCAAGCTCACCTCAGGAGAGCTAAAAGGGGCCTGTTTCCGCCTCCTTTCTTCCTTCTTTGCTTCACTGCAGAACTTCCTTCTGGCTGCACCTGCCCGACCACCACAGGCCTGCTGACTAAAAACATGGGGGAGAATGGAGAAGTACCAGAGGGGCCGGGTGCCCTAGCATCACTGCCACTTCAGCTGCCATCTCAGTGTAGCCCTCTACGAGCACCTCCTCATCGACTCGTGAAATCAGACTGACCAGGAGCAGCGAGGGAGCTACAAGAGGCAGAAAGAGAGACTGTGAGGGACGTGAAGCTGCAGCACAGAGCACTCCAGCACTTTTCCTACCTCTCAGCTGAGACATCTGAAGTATCGCCATACTTGGCGATATCACAGTACGTGCTTTTGTACATAATGAATACCACTAAGTATAAATTATTTTAGTAACAGTTATAATGTTATTCCTTTTCTGTGATGGCAATATTATTTCTTTTGCGATGCTATTTCTTCAGGGACAGCTTTGGCAAACAGCAAAATAATCAAAAGTAATTCTTGCTTGTCTGCTAGTGGCCACTAACGGAAACGAGATGCTGGACTAGATGAACCCTGGGTCTGCCCCAGAATAACTATTCTTACATATTGTGCAAATGAAATTAATAATAGAAGCTGGCCAACAGAGCAATGATTTTCTTCATCGCTTACACTGGCTCTGATAGAATGCCAAGCTCCAGGGCCACTAGCATCTGCCACTGCCTGCCAAGAGACTAGATACATTACAGAAAGCTACCCAGTTTTACCAGGCAGGCTGAAAATGCAGTGAGGGGTAGTATTGATCCCAGACAGCTTGCTTTCTAAACAGAGTACTTTTCAGACCCAGAACGGGAGAAAAGAACGGAAGAGGAAAGAAGTACATTTTGCAGTGGGTGATCATTTAGCTCTTGCTTTCAGGGACTTTTATTTGTTTGTCACATAAGACAAGTCATATTGGAAATCAAGTAACCAGAACTTTGCAGGCCAGCATTGAAAGAAGCACAATTGAACTGAACCTCCTTTCAGTACACAATTTAACCTGAAGAGATCTAGTAAATTAAAAATTTACTTTAGTTTAAAAAAAAAAAACCCAACCCAAACCACCACACAAAACTTGCCCCCAAACCCTCCTATTACACTGCTTTTATTTTTTTTTCCTGAGATACTAAAAAGACAGAAAGAGATTGCCTCTCTTAGAGGCTCTCTTAGAGCTGTAAGGAAACATGGGCTTTCTCTGAGCTTGGAACAAAAGGCTGGGATGAAAGACTCCCTCAGAACAAACAGGTTTGGGACTGTTGCAAGGAGACTGAGAAATCTGGCTGGAGTAAAACAAAACAACTGTGAGAAGAATTACAAGTGCCTGCTCCCCTAAAATGATTTCTGAGCAACTGAATCTCAGCTGTCTTTGTCAAATGCCTCCCCAGCCATTTTGCATGAGAAAAATTCCAGCACACCCACTCAAGAGTTTATGCAGAAGTCCTTATAGACTACACAGAAATTACTTCAACTTCTGCAAAATGCAAAAAAAAAAAATTCCATTAATTTTCCAGATAGATCTCTCCCACTAAAAAATGAATACCTAATGCTATATTATGCGCTCAACCTTTTGAGAGCCAAGAATTATTTTGTCCTATATGCTTATAATACACTAAATGCTGACTTTCAGAGCAAGTACCACTTATGTACTCATAATTCACCAAAACACCTCAGTACTGACTGTGAAAAGAATGGTAATGGTAAATATCATCGTGCATTTCATAGAATTCATAGGAAAATGTTTGTGCATGGCATGATAAAAAGCGAAAAGGACACCTGAAGGACAGTCACTAGATACGTCCCCTATAAGACACCGCACCAATACAACCACCACTGGAACGGCTCCTGTGAGCTGAAGTTAGAAAAATAGTTTGCTGCTTAAAAAAGGGAAACGCAGGAACATGACAAAGCTGGTCCAAGAAAAATGCACAACAATATTACTCGTAATTCTTGCTATAAATCACCCAGCTGCCAAAACGTCACTTTCCAGTGTTTTTCCACTTCTTCCAGCTGGAAATCTTCCCACGGCAAAAGCTTAGTCTATCGTCAACAATATGCAGATTGGTCTTGGAATGGAGAAAGAAAAAGGTAGTTTGGAGAATACCTGCTACAGCCACTGGTACTTCAAAAAGCGGTGGAAAGTCTTTCCAACAGCTGACCATTGCTAAACAGTTGAAAGAATTAATAAGCCTGCTTAGTTTTTTTAATACAACAGTAAGACTGCAACAGAAATAATACGAGTATAGTAGATGTACTGTCATCAGACATCTTAAATTCTGACATTATATTGCATTTCAGCTGATAGTGTTAATTTAGCTTTTAAAAATGTATTTCCTTTTTACAATCTAGGGGACGATGAGATTGGAAGGGTCACTTCCAGGTAACCATCAGGCTTAAGTACTTCATGATACAGTGAAACATACCGTCGATTTCATTATAGTATTAAATGGGAAAAAAACCCAAAAGAAAGTACTGAGCTTTTCTGCATACTGTTTGGGGTTGGATAAAGCTGTCCAGCCTGGACAAACGGCAGCGCCGAGGCACAGCCCAACAGCTACTTCTCCAGGCAGGGCAGCTGGAGATCCCAAAGCGCTTCCAGCGCCTGGAATTCACCGGTGCTCACGGAATGAGCTCTGCTGCTCAGATACAATTTTTTGCGAGGAATTTTTGCTGGTTTTGAGTGGCGAAGGGGCGCTGGCGGTGAGCGGCGGCCGCTGCCTCCTGTGGGGGCTCTACCTGCGGAGCCCCCCCCGCCACCCCCGCGGGACCGGCCGCCACCACCCAGACCTGAGGAGAAATCCCTCGGTCCGACGCAGGCACCGGCCCCTGGAAACGGGCAAAACGGGAAGGGATTGCCCGGGATGTCACGTTTTCTAACGCACCTGATTTCACCATCTGAAAAAAAATAAACCACCTAAACCCGTTTAACCCGCATCAGCCATGTTCTCTAGGGGAAGGAGGGGGGGGGGGGG